TAGTTCAGTAACAATTTGAGAATTAGATTGTTTTCTTTCTAAATAAAGTTCGGCTTCGATGAGTTTTTTGAGAAATTGTTCAACTAATTGCTTTTCTTTTTCATCTTTCAACTCAGGAGAAGTGATTATCGTGTTTTTTTGTTTATCATTTTGATAGCGGCGGTTAATTTCTTGGAGAATGGGAAGATTATTTTTCTGTTCTGACAGACTCTCTGCTTTTTCCTCGCCACAAATTTCCACCGCCAAATTATCTAATATGTTAAGGTCTTTATTTTTAAGAGAAATCCCCTCGTGTTTCATTTTTAATTGATAACTTCTTAACTGACAACCCACCCTTTCACGGAAGCGTTTTTTGACCGATTCCCGCTCGCTTTCTTTATTTGCTTTTTTTAGACTTACTTTTACTTTTTCTCCTTCTTTGATTACTTTGCGAACCACCTCGGCCAGTTTTTTATCCGCTACTGCTAATGTTTCTCAATCGGCTAAACTAGCGGGATCAGCATCTGGATTTTCTTTTAATTCCTCGACAATTTCTAAAAAGTTATTCCAACTAGTTGCATTTTTTTCCTCTTTTTCTTGTTTATTTCGCACTTGGTTTATTTCCTTTTCTTTTTTATTCAAAAGTGCTTTTAGACTACTAGATTGCCTAGAGCCAATATTCCAATTATCCTCCTTAATTATTTTTTGCCTTCACTCAGTAAAAAAATCTTGCAACTCCTTATCATCGTAGTAAAAGAAACCATCGACAACTATATTCTCAATTTCTTTTTTTAGTTTTTGATAATTTTCCTCTAATTGCTGCTTACAAGAAAGATCATTACAAAAATATTTGTCAGCACTTAATGGAATACTGACTGAAAAAGAATTACCACAATTTCGGCAATTCCTTGTTTCTTTGTGAGAATAGTGCTTATTCAAGCAATAAACACAGACTTCATCATGGGGATTATTTAAGGATGAAGTGAGACACTCCGGACATTTTTTACTTGTTGTCATGACAGATTACTATCTAGAGGCGATTTAGATTTGCAATTTCTTAAACTCTAAAGTCATTGCACACTCTTACTATTTACTATATTATTAATTTTATCTTTCTAAAGCATTTACTTATCACCAATGGGCAAATTCTCGATTATATTAGCCAAACGGGACACTTCATTATTAAGATTTTCTAACTCACTTTTAAAAACATCTTCTTGTCAATCATTGATAGCAGTTAATTTATTGCCTATTTCCCTTAGTTCCCTCCCAAAAGTGTTAATAGCTTCTTGTCCATATTCATTTAAGTCTTGCCGCAATTGATTAATTCTTTCTCGTAATGAACGGGCATCATTATAAGAATAGCGTTGAATTTGATTAGGATGAGTGAAATTTTCTAGGTTTTGTTTCTCATAATAAGTAAAAAAAGTATGCAAGAAATGGAGAAGCCAGTTGCAGACAGGTTTAGACTCATGTTCACAAGTTGTAAATTTTTTGTCGGCTTCTTCCTGTCTTATTCGAGATTTTTCTTCTTTATCTTCAATATCTTTTATTGCTTTTTCAATCCGAGCCTCTTTTTGCTTGGCAGTTTCAGGATTAACCTCCTCTTGGCAGATTTCACATCAGACTTTCCCACTTAAACCTAGTCTGGTTGTAGCAAAATCATCTTTCTTTTCCTCGTTTCAATTTTCCCATACATTTAAAATATCGTTAGCTTTTTTAACCAATCTCTCTTTATAATTATTGAAATTAAGTTTTTTGGCTAAATCGAATAATAAATGATAATCTTCATTTTTAGCAAATTTTCAGCAATAATGATCTTCGCCATCGATTTGCGGTCAGTCAATTTTATATCTTCCCTCTTCATCTCCTTGACTATATTCTTTTAACATTTCGGGAGTTCAGGTGAAATTAAGGCTTTTGCCTAAGCGACCACGTCGTTTGATGGCCGGATCAATTTCTTCATAATTATTAGTAGCAATGATAATAATACTATTTCTATCTTGGGCAGCTTGGCTAATCTGGGTAGTATTTAAACCATCTTTATCACCTGAACTGGATAAAAAGTTTTTAAAGTCTTCTAAATTCCTTTTGGGTTTATCAGTCATAGTATTACGGGCTTGGTCAGCTTCTTCAATAAAGACGATATAAGGCAACTTACTAGCAACTCCTGTATTACCTTCCCTATCAACACTTTGAAAAAATTCCTCTTTAAATCTCTGAAGAATTTTTACTAATTTTTCCTGTGGTAATAAATCACCTACTGTTGGTCCGGCTGATTGCAAACTGGCTCCTTTAATTTCCACCACTGGGATGCTGGGTTTTTTAATCCCTTTTTCTGCTTTTTCTCTTTCTTTGGGGTCTATGCTTATTCCGTAATTAGGGTCATTAGGATCGTTACTGGATTGCGGTATAGTAGGTACTTCACCATAACGATCAATCAGAATTCGGCTTAATTCCCGAGCGAACTCAGTTTTACCCGTTCCTGGTGCTCCGTAAAGAATACAATTATTACGAACTAGATAACCACTATAATTATCTTTATCTCCTCCTGCTTCGTTCTCCAATCTCCCCTCATCATTTATCCAATCATCTATATCTTTAATGATCCGACAAAAATGTTTTTTAGTCTCATTGCTAAAAAGGAGATAGCCGGGTTCATTTAGTCCTTCTTCGTATTTACTAGTATCGAGATTTTGTGTTCTTTTCGCTTCATCAATTCCTTTGATACCTAAATAACCTGTCTCGACATCTAAATCATGGATTTTATAAAGTCCCTGACCAGAAAACCCTTCTAAATCCTTTTTTAGTTTTTCTAATTCGGCTTTGTCTCTTTCGGCACGAGTATTTTCTCGCTCCTGCTCTTGATAATCTTTTTGTTCTTTCTTAGCTTTAAGTTCATTGCTTTGCCAATTAAGAAAGGCCGTTATTCCCAAAATAACTAGGTGAAGAATTACTGCCATCACCACTAAAACGATAAAAAATTTTTTCAAAAGACCTTTCATAATTTAGGTATCTTTAACTTTATTAGATCATAATTCTCCTTATTATTCTTCCAGTTTACTTCTGAATAACAAATAGCCAACCCCTAATAAGCCAACCATTACTATTCCCAACCCAACTGTTTTTAGTATTTCTTTATTTTGAGAAGATAAAAAACCCTCTTCTGGTTTTTCTTTCTTATCCTTATTTTCCGTTTGATTATCTCCTTTTTTCTGGCCTCCTAATTTGCCACGCCCTTTACTACTGGCTAAACTTCCAAAAGGATTGGGAGAAGAAGGTTCAAATAATTCTTTTTTAGCATTACGGAGAATTTTTTCCGTATCTGGATCAAATAAGGTGCGGGCGGGATGTTTATCTAATTCTTGACCAATATTTTTTATCTTATCTTTATTTTGTTTAATTAAGGCTAATATTTGAGTCTTTCGGTCAGAAGAAGTGTTAGGATCCTTATACTCCATCATTAAATCTTTATTAGCCTCTTGTAGTTTCTCAATTTCTTTAACTTTGGCTTGAAATTCCTCGACTTCGTGAAAACTAAGATTTTGGACTTGATTAATATACCTGTCAATAGCCTTAGCAAAAGACTGGAACAAATGTTCGACATGCTTCTGGAATAGGCCTTGTTTCTCGTCTACCCCAATACAAGTCGCATAAAAGGCTAATTTAGTGGGATTACAACAATTATCTTTCACTTTTTGAAAATCATTTAATACTTTATTTTTTTCCTCCTCGAATTTTTCTTTGTTAGTATTAGCACTTAATCTCAATTGATTATGGCGGTCTTGTAGTTTATCAACGCCATCAAAATTTTTATTAATCAAGGCCACTTCCTCGGCTAAAACATGACGCCCCCCATAATTACACTCGCCCCCATGATAATAATTTCCCGGACAAGAAGAACAATTTTCATGACCGCTAGTTCCGGAATGGCGTCCTCCACGGGGTCCGACTTTACATTTAGAGTTTCTAATCATTTGTTTCCAATTTATTAGACTCTTAAATTTTTCCTCCGTTATTTCGTATTTGGTCATGTGTTTGAAATTTCTTATTAACTAGAGCCACCACTCAATTTACCCAGCATCTTTTTCACAAAATTAATCAATATTATCGCTATAATAACACAAAAAGCAATAATTCCTCAATTTTTTCAACTGCTTAGACTAGGCTCATTAGACTTAGACTGAAACTGACTAAAAGTCAATTGTCCTCGCCCAAAATTTTCAAAACCTTTATTCAATTCATCAATTTTTTTACTCATTTCCCGATTATTATCAGCAATCTCTTTTTTATTTTGGTTAATTAAGGCGGATATTCGAGCTTTTTCTTTAGGGTCTTGTTCGGTTTTTAATTGTTCAGCAAGTGCCTTGCTTTCCTCCTCTAATTTTTTGTTGCGGTCTCGTAAATCACTGAATCATTCATCATTTTTATCCTCAAAATATTTCTTGCGGTCCTTTTGTCAGGATAATCATTCTTGGTATTGTTGGTCTGGTGATATCCCTGCATTACTCAAATTATTCCCCGGAGTATCCCCAAACTTATCAATAACCTTTTTACCTAAATAAGTTCCGGCAGCAACAGTTCCGGCTCACAGAACAATTTTACCGACTAGTCAAGAGACTGCTATTGTTGTTGAGACTGGTTCCATAATGTTCTATTCTTCAAAGCCAATAGCACGGAATAAGGAGCGAAAAACCGCGACACAAACCTTATATAAAATAACTAATCCGATCAGAAATCCAACTATTCAAACAACATTATTAATACTCAATTTGTTAGGGATATGAGATCAATAATCATCCTTTTCAACCATTTTTAAATCAGCCAAATCAGCTTCTGCTTTTTGTAATTCTTTAATCTTGTCAGCTCGTTGTTCACTGAGTTCCTGCTTTTGGTCTTTATCAGCTTCCTCTTTAATTTTGGTTTGTAATTCCTTGATTTCTTTTTCTAAATCTTTTTTATTTTGCTCGGTTTCCTTAACTAATTCTTTTACTTCAGCCTTTTCTAAACCCTTGATATTAGGGTTATTGCGTGGACAATCTAATCTCTGACTAATGAATTTAGTATAAAGGTAATAACCGGCTACAACAACAAATATTAATGGTATGAGAGTGATTAACATAAATTATATATATTATTATTTTAGTTAGATAGATAACTTAATAAGTATAAAATTATTATATATTATGAATGTGAAAGAAAATAATAGTCACGTTGACAACTAAATACTGTCGATATTATGCCACAATTATTTACTTTATATATCACTACTAGACAAAAAATAAATCACTAAAATATGACCTGAACCCAATACAAACAATACCTAGAACAAAAAATCTTCACAGAGGAAGAGGAGGACACTTATCTCCTCCACCCCTCCGCCAAACAAAAATACTCCCCCACTAATGAAAAAGAATTACTAACTGTTTTATCTAATCTCATCAACTCCATTGACAATCTCCCTTACCACTCCTCCAACTCTTACTCCTCTCTAAGTGAACAAGAAGAATATCACTCTTTACCTGATTTAGATAATCTCTACACTGAATCAGGCCAATTAATCACCTGAACCCAACTCTTCCCTAACCGCTCAGAAACTCACTTCGGTAAAAAAGAAATAGAAGCAGAAATC